TGTTTGACCAGTAGCGGAATGCACATCTTTATTATTGTAAGTTAACATAATTTCATCTATGTAGTCTATCCATTGTATATTCGTATTTTTATTCGTTTTCATCGTTCTCAACTCTTTTGCATAATTTGTCTTTAATTCTTTTTATAAAACGCTCGGCAAAAGCAGGGTGGCCTCTTGTCCTATACAATTCAATGCCTTCGCTTTCTACATATGCTTGGAATTCACCACTTGCTATAGTTTTCTCGTCGTCAGTGTATATGATTTCAAGTTTCTTGCCCATCTTCTCTATCGCTTTCTTTGTTCCTTGAAAAACACTGCCTGTCTCTTTCCTTCCTACTGGGACTACGACAGCATACTTACTCAAACAATCAATACAGACTAATCCAGCTCTGTATCTTTGTTTTACCTTTAATTCTTTTTTGGAAATAAAGAATATATCAACTTGGTATCTATGATGGTTATGTGGAGCAACAAAGCTATTATAGCCCCTCGGGTTCATTTTTATCTCTACACTCTTTTTGAAAAAACATCAACATCTTTCATAGTAATAGATTTGTTTTTCTCTCTTGCATCCTTCAAAGTAGTGTTTTTGGAACCTGTTTTATCGAAATGTATGTTTCCTATGATTTCTTGTTTATCCATTTCAATATTTTATTAAGTTTATTATTTTGAAAAAACCTAATGTGAAGAAGAATTGCAGTGGCAACAATAAGCCTCGCAGTTGTCAATAGAATGGCACAGTCCATTATCAACTCTCTGTGCCGTAAAGTTACTTGACAATTTGCCACCTCTGGTATCAAGATAACATTTAACTCCACAGTTTGCACAACAACCCTTGAACATCTTCAAACATGTTCATCAATGTATTCATCAACTATTTCTCTTGCTCCTTTTCTGTTTTGTCCTTTGTAACCTTCAACCTTGTTTTTAAAATAGTTAACTACCAAATTCTTAAACATATCTTCGTCGGCTTTATCATTTTTGAAAAATATACATTATTGAAATCTGTTGCTCTGGTTACAGTACACCATAGCCATTCTATGCTCACCAAATAGTCGTTGTAATAGTTGTTTCCAATCCTGAACTTGTAGAATTCATCACCACTCTCTTTCTTTTTAAGTGATTTCAGCTTTTGGTTCAAAGTGTATATGTGGCTGTTCTTAACCAATCCGTTGAAAGTTATGTAGCTATGGCAGTTGAAGTTTACAGGGTTATCTTTGTAAATCAAGTTGCTGTCAATGTCATTAAATCTTGCTTGGATATTGACACGTTTAAAGACTTTATCCATTTCATTGATTGATGACTCTGCCGCAGCCACTCAGCCACTCAGACGCTCTGCCAGAGTGGCTGATGCAGCCACTCAGCCACTCTGCCAGAGTGGCTGGAGCAGCTACTCAGCCACTCAGCCACACTGCCAGAGTGACTGACGCAGCCACTCAGCCACTCAGCCATTCTGCCACAGTCGCTGCCAAGAGTGGCTGGAGCAGCCACTCAGCCACTCTGCCAGAGTGGCTGGAGCAACTCAGCCACTCAGCCACTCTGCCACAGTTGCGGGAGCAGCCACTCAGTCACTCAGAGTGGCTGAGTGGCTGAGTGGCTGCGTCAGCCACTCTGCCAGAGTGGCTGAGTGGCTGATGTGAAAATTTCCGCCATTGCGCGTTCAATCAAACAAAGCAACTGTGCCCAGATGAGCCTCGATCTCCACTTTGGTTGCCGGCCCTTCCCTTGATGCGGAGGGCTGGTCCATCTGCGCCTTGCAGGAAAGGCATCTGCGAAACTGAGACAACCTTTTTGACTTGCAAAAAGATGGGCAAGCTGCATCAATCGTTGACATGTTTCCAAGTTGCAACTAAACGCTGCAGGAATTCATGCAAAAATGTCATTCATATGTCATTCACTGCCGTTTCTTGCCTCCTCTGTCTGGGCTGCCAGAGGGCTATCGAAGTTACTTGCCGCGAATGGCGACATGTCCTCCAAACAACCGACCGCCAGTGAACTGGTTGGAAACAAATACTGTAGATTTGACATAATTTGAATATATGTAATGATGAATCAATTTGTACCGGTGTAAATCTTGACACTTTTTGGATCTTTTTGGGGTGTTATTTCTGAGGCGGCCATGGTTTGTATGACTTCAGGCTTCGGGATCAAAACAAAAACATGTTGTCCGTCCATGTCGTAAGTAAAGCCAAACCCATCACACTCTCAGGCTGTGATATCTCGAACTTGAATGGAATTCCTGGTCTCCCGCCTCCGCCTGGGAAGCTCTAGCATTGAAGTCGAGGCGGTCAGGTAGAATCTATCTTTCTGTAAAACATTAAAAAATGCAACAAATATACGAAAAAAATACAACCCCTAAATGCAACTATTTTGTGTGTTTTGACGTCCCTAACTTAGAGTCTACCAGAAAAAAGGAACCAGGCAATGGATATAAAGTTTTTCCTCACCATTAAGATTCCCCAGCACGCAAGAATAAGCCATTGACTTTTCAAAGCGCCAAAACCAATATGGAAATTACAAAGCTAGCCACACAACTGGCAACACATCTCAGCCATCCGCGGATGTGCTTCCCTCCTTCCGAACAGTTTTCTGCGGACATTTCCATTCTGACTGAAAGCATTCTCACACTAATTACAATCTACTTGTATGGGGCCCTGGCTGCTGCTTTCTTCAGGATCTTACTTTGGGCAAATTTCCCATGTTGCGTCTAGGATATGGAACGAAGTACAGCTGAGTCCTTTGCAGCTGGTTTGGTGGTGGCACGCCGATGTTTTTTGCAAGGTGGCGTTTGGAACCATTAGTTGCTGTGGTAGTTGTAGTTGTGGCCGTGCAGGTGCGAAACCCCAGGCGTGCTGATGCTGTGGCACGTTGTTTGCGCATTAATAGATAGATAGATAATATATATTTATTTATATGAAGTACACTGCTGCGTTCGCGCTTGGCACGAGTCTTCCAGCGAGAATCGTCAGTCACAAACTCCCCCACCTGAGCTTGGCAAAGCACAAAGCTGGGAAAGCGAATGGCTTCCAACGATGGGTTCACACGCCGGATTCCTAAAAATGCAACCCGGGACGTCGCCGAGCACGCTGGCGCAAAAAAAAAGCAATGGAAACCAATGTGTTTTTCCCGTTGCATTTTTTTTGCAACTTGAAGCTCAAAGTGTAAAAAATATGGAAAAAAACGAAAAAATGCAAAATAAATGCAAAAGTGCAAACTGAAATGCAACCGGAATTGCAACAATCTAATGATGCAGATACGTCTTGCAAAAAAAAAGCAACGCTGGGATCGCCAATCTTCCCGTTGCAAAAAAAATGCAATTGGGACAGAGGATTGCAAAAAAAAAACGAAGCAACCACCAAATTGCAAAAAAAATGCGATGTGACAGACAAAGTGCCAAAAAAAAAGCGATGTGACCGGCAAAGTGTAAAAAAAAAACGATGGAACGGGCAAAGTGTAAAAAAAAGCAATGTGACAGACACAGTGCAAAAAAAAAGCGATGTGACCGGCAAAGTGTAAAAAAAAGCGATGGGACGGGCAAAGTGCAAAAAAAAAGCGATGGAACGGGCAAAGTGCAAAAAAAATGCAACTGGGCAGTTTGTTGTGTCTCGCATTTGGGAAAGGCAGCCAACAGGATGAAACCACAAAACCACGACTAGCAGCACTTGTTTTTTTTTTTGTGTGTGTGTGTCTTTGTGTGTGGATCTGCATACTCCTCTGCTTCTGAAGCAATGATCAGGACAGCACGACGTGTCCAATACCCAGATTTTTTTACATGCCAACACAAAACACCACAGATGCATGACTGACATTTATTTTTTTAGTTCCTTGTGAGAAAAAGAAAAGAAAGGCACCCATTATAAAAAAAAATGGAAGTCCATATAAATCAGTTGTGCTCGCAGGGCCAGCTTACCGACGCAGTTGGAATTGACCCTGCGGAAAAAAAAGGAAAATGAAAGTTGCATTTTTCTAGTTGTTTTTTATTTACAATTGTATTTTGAGGTTGTTTTTTTTCGTATTTATGTTGTATTTTTAATTCCTGTCAAGGCACATAGTCTGTACCTGGTGCCACGACTTCAACTCTAGCACCAATACAGCAGCCCATCGTGACGACCTCAACGCCATCGAAAAAAGATTTGGCAAATCGAGGACAAGCACCATGTTTCTCATCAAATGCTGAATTTTCTGACTCAAGAATTTGGTCGGGCTTCACATTACGCAGCAAGCACAGCCAAAAGTTGTCAACAACAGTGATTCTCACACTGGACCGTTCAGTCCATCTTTCCAACACTGCTCTTTGCAGAACCACTTCCTCTGCAGAATTGGTTTGGTGGAGCTTGACTGGGTACCCCCAGCTGACACAGGGACTGGAAGGCCGGTGCAATGGCAAAACGCGCGCTTGGCAGGGCAAGTTGATTGACTTCTGGATCCAAAAAATGTCGAGGCTTTGAAGGGGGAAATCCCCACCAATGCAAGTTTCTGACTTCCTGAAATCTGCTGGCTAACCGGCGATGCAGCATTCAATCAAAGGGAACAAAAAGAAAGACGGCTATCTATAGTCTGTTCCATTCACATGCCTCGTTAAAGTTGAGGCAAAAGTGCGTGTGGTGGACCGTATGTGCAAGGTGTGTGCAGCCCATGTGACACCTAACCTGCACCCAGCACACAGCTTGTAGAGATTCGTGTGATAATCCAATTCTGGTCAAACCTTCTTGGACTCCTGATTCATTGCCATTGCCCTTAGTGCACGCATCTGTCAATGTCTATCAATGTGATTCCAACTGGCTTTGTCAGTAGATTGCGTAGATCGTCTTTGTCTATCGGGCATTTGCAACGCATGCAATTGCAGAGTGCAAGCTTCTGTCAGGCTGCTTAAAATGCTGCGGCGCATCATCGGTAAAGGGATTTTTTTCTGACCATTGCAATGTTGGTAACTTCCTCCTGAAGTGATGCGAATTTTTTCCGAAGTATTCAACTCTGAAGATTTTCCCGACCGCATCTCTTTTTGCTGACTCGGGGCGCACGACCTCAGATGCCGCAACGCCGCTTTCGGGCGCTCAAGGTGAGGAGATCAAGGAGACGGAGACGTCGAGTTGGCCATGGGCCTGATGCCGTCATGGACCGAATTTGGCACAGCTGGGTGTAACGTTTCCGAAACTTCGTCCCTATAGTGAGCCACGTGTTAATTTGTTGCTACCCTTTGCTACGCTATGCCGGACTATTGGCATCTCTTGATGATTCACAAGTACATGTCAAGTGCAGGATGCCTCTGTGACCAATGCAAACAGCTGTGCAAATCAATATACTCTATGGTGGGCCGTGCTTACAAATAGGGAACCCCATGACCCCGCAAATTGCTGTAGGGGTTTTCAGTGTCTTGACTTCAGACCGTGGTCAGTTTTCAACACTTGCAAATGTCACAATACTGCCAGTTACTACAAACTACGTCGTAAAAAGATGGAAAAAGTAGACCGGAAATCTCCAAATCCCAACACACTGGACATCCAGAAGAAACCGGATAGAAAATGGGTTTTGGTTTGCCCCCGGAAGCAAATCCTCACCACCCAGGTGCTGGCTGACACCGAGCATGGCCAAGGCACGCGCCTTTGCACCGATGGAACTGATCCGAAAACGTTCCGGAGCTCTTCTTCTCACCCTGTGCATGTTGAAACCATAGGACAAGGACTGCGGGTGTCTTGGTGGAGTACAGTATAGGGCTACAGCAAGTGAACAGTGAATTAAAGAATCGGACAAATCCCGGAAAATCAGGGGAAATGTCAAGACAATGAACTGCCGATGGGAAAATTGATGAGGTCCAAGGATAGAAATCACCGAATAGGTGGGGCCAATTGGCACAATAAATTGAGGAGCTCAAAACAGTTTTTTTTGCTAGAATGGAGCAAAATAGAAACACGTGGAAAACAATGGTTCTCCATGAATAAGCTGATGCGAATGAAAACAAAAAGACACTTGCCATGTTTATCCATGTTTCATACTATTCTTTATTATTTCATTTGCACATGTTGTTCATTATGTTCATCGTGTTTTCACCTCGTGTGACATGGTTTTCATGATTTTCATAACGTGTTCATTCTTTTTGTCATTTTGTGTCATCATTGTTCATCATGTGTCATGGTTTTTGACATGGTTTTCATCATGTGTCTTCGTGTGCTCATTGCTTTTTTACTTGCATGGCTTTCATCATTTTGCTTCATGTGCTGGCCGTGTTTCAACCCAAAATGTCACGTTTGTATACGTTTGTTTTAAAAAAACATCAGCACCAGACAAGCAGGAAACAGCCTTCACATTTACCAGAATCTTGAGCACGCCCCGCTTCTTGGCATTAATTTGTTTTTTCGTTTGCTGACCAAAGGTTCTGCCAAATTTCCCCATTCCAACAACTGTCTTGACAGCGAAAGAAACTGCCTATCTTGCGCTCGTTGATGTAAAGACACTCCCTATAAAGATGGCAAAAATACACCACAGAAAGCACCTTTTGGCTGAGAGTGACTGCCTGCGTGCCTGCATTTTTTTGGACCAACATGTCATGTGAGATGAAAACAAGGCAGCCAGCAAGTCAAGACAGTTGGCTATACCCGGGTCAATTTCAAGCCATCCATCCAAAAATAGCCTCGCCACACTAAAACCATGCTAGGTTTACATGATGCCAAACAAGGCCCATACAGCAAGCGCAAAGCAGAATCCATCACTGGAGTGACAACGAGGCACGTGGCTCTGAAGCAGAAATTTCCAGTGCCTCTGAAGCAAACAAAAATGCGGGTAAGGCCCAAGTCATTGGTGACGCGGCATATTCCAAAATGATGGATGGTTTGCTGAACCAAAATTAAGATCTAAACCAAATAGCATTTGGCATTTCAAGAAACATGTTGATTTATATAGTTCGAAGTTCTTGTTGACTTTAAAAAAAACCTAAGCCAACCAAAATAGGCATTCCACCATCAGAAAAAACGGCAAAAAGGATGCCATACCTTGCCAGTGGATCCCAGCATCCTTCAGGCGGAGAAACCTCATCCGGAACGGCACGGTGCTGATGGAAATGGTGGGCTCCTCCATCCATTGACTCCAGGATGGTGGTCTTAAACCCGGAAGATGTAGACAGCTCCTGAATCTAATCTGCCATGTGTCATACGGGTGAATGAAAGGACATTCTGATTCATATAACTGGAAGTTTCACCTGCGAAACATGAACCAAAATGATCTGCCGTACCACGTTGGTTATCATATCCCCTTTGTAATTTGACGGGTTGTGTGGGGGGCCTGATTTCAAAGTCTTAAAACAAGACCCCCCCAGGGCAACTTGGACATGAACCTCTTTAAGATTAAGCTGCGGACGGGCGCAAACAAATCAACTATGAAATCAAGTGGCCCAAGGAACCGTTGAGCACATTCATTTGTCTCAAAGTAGGCCTGAATAAAGTCATACCTCCCAAGTCAAACAAGTTTGGGATATTGTTTTGCTCATGCCCTAACCCTAGTATCTGACTGACTGTGGGGGTGATGATTCTAGAGTGCCAAAAGGTGAGGGTCTACGCGGACCCAAATTCCATTCCAAACAAAGAACATCCACTCAGCGCCGAGGGCAACCCCTGCACTCGATCAGTCAGTTTAAAGTCGTATGTTGGAGCCTTCCTATGTTACGCATGACGCATGTGAAGAGATGCTTTTCCATTTTTCTCTAGGTCAATTCAACTTACTGTTATAACAATAGCTGCTTTTCTATATCATCTAAATTGAATCTATACCGTGTATACCATCATTTGTTATGCCCATGTTGGGTCATGTTGGCCCTACTCTAAACCATCTAGATGTAATTATATATAAATATACGTATATATAAGAAACAGTGTTCATCTGGCACCCGGCATTGGTTGCCAGGTAAACACGTTATCCTAGGCCCGCTTGGGAAATGTTGGACATATTTTTTGACACGTTCAACCCAGATTTGAGAAACCTCACCTCTGGGGTTGAAATAAACTCCTGCCAAGGGGGGAAATGTCACCCCAACCGTCTGTTGAAATAAAATCATCGACATGTCAAACCTTAAAATGACATTCCCAGGGCAATTTAGAAATAAGACTATAAACAAATTCAAGCGGCGCAAGTTTGACAGCAAAAAAACTCTAAAATTAGCTGGCCACAGGAACCGTTGGATCTATTCATGCGCACGAGTAGGTCTCTCAGTCCACACCTCCCATGTCAAACAAATTGCAATATTATTTTGCTCTGATTGAGTCCGGGGATCACGCTTCAATAGCGCCAGAAGGCCCCATTTCAAACCAAGAACATCCAATCGGCGCTCAGCGTGACGCCAGGTCACTCCAAGTTCCTGCTCTAGCTGCTTTTCTATATCATCAATATTGAATCAATTTTTACGCCCGTGTTTGGCCTTTCTTGGGCTATGTTGGGACATGTTGGCCCTATGCTGGGCCATCTGGATATATGATGACATATGTGTTTTTTTGAAGGTCCAAAATTAGCGTATTCATCTGGCACCCGGCGCCGGTTGCCAAATGAACAGGCTTATCTTGGGCCCACCTGGGGAAGGTTGGGGGTATTACATTGTTTTGCTTTGTTCAACCCAGATGTGAGAAACCTCTGGGGTTGAAATAAACTCCCGTCAGGAGTCAGGGGCGTCAAATTCGTTTGGAGTTTGCCCCGCCTGAGTCTCGGACTCACCGAGTCGATGATACCGAGGTGTGCGAGACATGGCTCCGGCAAGGGCAGAGAAGGTGGAGCAAGATCCAAATTATCCAAGTCGTCTGTGTTTCAAAACTCTTCCCACTGGATCAAGAAACCGGTTGCTAAGTTGCGATTCGTTGCAAGATGTGAAAGGGCCACTGCACAGCAAATTGTCCATCAAAAGCTTTTCAGCTTTATCAATGCTCTCAAGAAGGACAAACGTGTGTGAAGAATTTCACTGATCACCAATCACCCTGTGGTGGATATCCATATTGCACTTATATAAAGGCTTTGTGGCCTGTAGTCTTTGTGTGGGAACTCGTCTGCTCACGGCTGCAGAATCTCTTGCTTGCGAAGGATAACAAGAACAATCAACCTAAGGGTTTTGGGTTTACAGGTCGGGTCCTGACACAGATTTCCCTGAAATTGACAATTGACATCAATTGACAATATCTTTGTTGTAGGATGATTTCCGAGTCACTGCCGCGGGACCAAACAGCATGCTCCACAACGGTGATTCGGGCAAGACATGACGCGATCAATTCGACAACACTTTGTTTCATGAAGGATCGCTCTTCAATTCAAAATGCCGACTTTGGGCCCTATGGATACGGGTGAAACGGGATAGATATTGACAACTGATCATAGTTTCTTGCGATGTCAAGCAATGCTACAATTTTCTCTGGTGCGTGACCTGCAAGCCAGCCAGTAGAGACTTGCGGAACAAAATCTGAGCTTTCTGAAACAAATCAACCACAAATCCCGCTGGCAGCATGATTGGAGCCCAAAAGTCAAACCAACTCAGCATGTTGGAAAACTGCTGTATATCGGTAGTGCAGGACAATCTGGCACGTCCATCCCTTGCTAAACCCAAGCTGCAACAAGTCTAGAATTTCAAATGGATAATCTTCCAGCGGGTCAAAGCAGCAAAACAATCTTTAAATCTCAGTAAAGATCTTCAACTTGTCGTTAGAAAAAAACAACTTGCAGTGAAAACCATGTGGCCAGTGAGCGTCTTGAAAGCAATTTGTGGGTTTTCCCACCGCCTTACTTGGAAAAGCTGCAAGTTGCGGCGTCTTGCTTGGGTCTTTTCGTGCTCCGGCCCATGCAGCCCCTGCCGTCAGGGGTATCATGGACCGAGTGGCTTGAAACCTGTCTGGATCTGTCGAGATTTTACGTACCTATACTTCTAACAAGTACAGCCGTTTTATTTCCAGTTGATGTGTGCAAGCAGGCTTGAAGTCGCAGCGGACACCATGGAACTATTTCCTGTTGGGAAAACTAAGCGAATATATGCAAATATATGGATTATTTGAAAATGTCCAGGAGGAATGCAGTAAGTGTCTCTGACGGTTCACAGTGCGACTCTGACCTTGAGACTCTAAAATCAGCTATAGCCGCGAAGCCCACTCTTTATTGGCCAACCGGTTCAATGGTTTCATGTTTAAGCCACACTGATAGCTGACAGCAAGCCTGAACGTGCAACACTGAATGCCATGGCACCAAATGCCAAAAAAAAGGAAAACATAGAAACAGGCCTCAGGCCCCTTGCAAAAAATGAATACGGCTTGAAGATGCCGCATCTTTGATGGAATTCAACCACAGGCGACCTCGACCGATGTACGAGTACCTACAGTACTTCCGGACTCCAAATTTCGTCATGTCTGGATCGAAGGCCACCAGGCGGAAAATCCACTATTCCCGTGTAACCCTGGCAGAGGCCTCCAGGCCACGCAACTCGCGGAGATAAAGCTGCCCCGCCTGGACGTGATGCGGTGCACATGGTGTGTGGGCCCTCGGGACCCGAGCTGATGACGCACCTTGCAACCGCATCACTTGGCATATCTCAATGTCGGTTGGGCATACCCAACAAGAATGTCACTAAACCTCGTCTAGAAAGCTTTGAAGACACATCTTTCAGTGTATTTCAAATCGCTCCCGCACATTTGCCAAAAGTGAGACCTGCTCAACCACAACTATTCCACTATTCGACTTCCATCAACCACAACTTCCCACATCTACATCCCCTCCAAGCAGAACCGCCCAAAGCAACGCCACAACTCGAATGAGAAGCCCTCGCCTCTGAGACGGAGCCTTTGGCCTCCAGAAGGTTTGCCAGATTCCAGACGGAGCTGAGGGTGTCCGGATGCACAGGGCCCAGCTGATCTTCGGATCCCGCCAGGGCCCTGCGATGGAGCTCCTCCGCCTGCAAGGTGGGCTGTGGATGGGCGACAGCAGGGTGGCTTCCTATGCCGTGGCGAGATGGGCCTAGTGCTGTGATCCGCAACCGGTGAAAGGTAATGTGTTGGTGACGTAGTGTGGCACATTGATTCTTCAAACGAACCCGAGCAATAGACAGCAAAGCCCCTACACAAACACACAAAAACCCCGAGAACCCTCATAAAAAACCAAAACCTGCAAATCTGAGAATCTGATCTGCATAGGATGGGATGGTGGGAACCACGAAGCCAGGGTGAAGGCTTTCTTGTACTGCGTGAAGCTGGCACACATGATCGATGCATCAGCCAAAGCTCTCTATGCAAAGCCATTTCTTGCAAAACAATGTTGATCTACCCCTTTCACAAAATGCAAGTTAAGGCCAATCTGGTACCTACAGCCGAAGCTTGGATTCTGGAGAAACAGCTTCGTGACTTGCGACCCTGGCACGTCCCGCTTGCTTGGCCAGCGTCTTGTGGGGTCATTTCATAAAATTCTCCGGCGACAATGCTGTGGGACGCTAAATTTCAAAGCAAACTTACCAAGACGAGTCCCACAGCAAAATCAAACTTCTCATAAACAGAACTTTTAAATTGCTCCGGTGAAACTTGGAAACAAGAAACTCACCAGTCCCTTGCCCTGGCCACTCGAGAGCTGCCTTCCCTTCGACACTTCCGCAACCTCTGCGTGCCCCAAGCCCCAACGACCTCATCCCCGCCTCCTCCAACTTGCCTTGCCTCTCCAAGACAAGGGCCAAGTTGTTCACCCAGACGAGGGTGTCGGGGTGTTGGGCTCCCAGTTGGGACTCGCCGCCTTCCAAGGCTCGGCGGTGCAGCCCTTCCGCCTCGCGGCTCGAGGTGGAGCACCGAGGTGGTGAAACATGAGAAGAGCTCCAGGTCCCGTGGTTTCATGGCTGATTTATGGGAAAGAGTAAAGGTCAACGAGGGCCACACTTCTTGGACTTTAATGAGAAAATACTATTCCACGCACCTGTCAAAAACTGTGAGAACTCACCGCAATAAGCTTTAGATGATCACCAAAATCATTCACAAAACATTATAAATTCAGTCCGGGGTGAAAGAAGGCCTTCTGACTTGCTTGGCCCCTATCTTTGGTGGTTAACTCAATAATTTCACAATAAATTCACCAACAACAATGCTGTCCAAACCTCAATTTCAAACGGTTCCCCCTGGCAAGAAATGCTTCTCCATCAAACTCAAATCAAAATCTGTCCGTACATCAGCCTAGGCATCAATTCACATTCCCAAATTGCTCCGGTGAAACTGGGAAAAGAAAACTCACCCGTCTCGTCCTGGCCACATGAGAAATGCCTTCCTCTCGACAGTGCCAGGAAGGCCACCTCTCTGCACCCCAAAGACCTCGGCCCGGCCTCCTCCAACTTGCCTTGCCTCTTCAAGACAAGGGCCAAGTTGTTAACCAAGACGAGCGTGTCGGGGTGTTGGGCTCCCAGTTGGGACTCGCCGCCTTCCAAGGCTCGCCGGTGCAGCCCTTCTGCCTGGCGGCTCGAGATTTCAGCGCTGAGGTGTGGAAACATGAGAAGAGCCCCAGCTCAGGCCCCATGGGTCATGGATTGAGAAGAATAAGCCAACAAAGGCCACCATTTTTGGACTATAGTGAGAACATACTATTCCAAGCGCTCGTCAAGCACTCTTTGAATTTAGAGGATGCCAAGAAGCATCAATGTATTCAATTTACTCCCAGTGTTTGCTCACATTGGTGGCCCGCTCTCACGAAACAACCCTGGCGCGACCACGGAGGTGGCTACGGCTCGGATGATCGGTCATCATCTCAAACATTGTCAAACGCGATCGAAAATAATCAACGGATTAAAATTGCTAAGGGCCTCGAAAAGCCCTGCCGAGCATGTAGGCAGGCTAGATATGGCTAGATTGCATATAACAAGAAAATACAGGAAATACTCCCTTCACAGGTTCAGCTGACCTGGTGATGCTGTCACAGTCAAACAGGTGCCTATGCGGCCAACTAAGATCATACATCTCACAAGAATTTGCAAACTTCAAAAGCCAATAGGGATGTTGAGGCTGTACCTGTTGGCAACCTTTTGGCAAGCTGCGTTTTGTTCAGCGTTTTGAAGACTTTTCGCAAACCACTTTAACGTGCTAATTCACGTTCATAGCTTCAGGCTTTCACAGATTCCTCACAAACAACTGACACACGATCATTCCCATCTAGCTGATTTTGATCCTGCTGGGGGTACGTCACACTCCTGGGGCACTCATTGCCCGCTTTCGTCATCGTTCTCAAATCAATAAACTGTATGTGGCCTCAGTCGCCCATCTGGAAATATGCTGCATGCGTTTTATCGTGATCCGGAAACTCTTGCACATAGAATCAAGAGTCCGGGTTAAATCCATTGAAGAGGTTTTGGTATCGTGAAGAAGGGTCTTACAAACAGCCTTGGCTGACTGATTTTGGAAACACAAAAATCTAGGGCGTGTGTTGAACTGCGCCAAATTAGTACAGTATTGACATCACTCATCATCACTATGATGTTGTGTTTCCCAGTGTGATGTCACAAGCCGTACAGTCCTCTTTTGCCTAACAAACCCCAAAGATTCTTCAGTGTCTTGAGGTGATGAACTCTGTTTGAAAGGAGTTTGTACTTTTCTTAGTTTCCGCTGAGCCTTCATAGTTAAAATTAGATTGCGGGAAAATGCAAGCGACTGATGGGTTCCCAAGTGTGACTCTCGGGAATTGGAGGACAGATCCTTGGCACCAACCCTGATGCACATTGCATGTATGGATTTCATGCCCGAGCAATTCAACTAATGAATTTGGGCGAAACTTAGGAGATGCACAA